CTTCACTGGCCCAACTTGGCACCATCATTGTGCTCTTCCCGGGCGAGGCAGATCGGTCGCTGGCTTCAGGATGGCCGCTCTCTGCGGCTGCTGGCCACTCACGCAGGCTGCTGGCCACTCACGCAGGCTGCTGGCTACATACAGTAGCCCATGGCAACCCACTGCCACAGGGGCTGCAGCCTACGCTGTCGCTGGCAACTCACAGCAGCCCAGCTCCTGGTTGAGCTGTTGTTCAGCATCTTAGCTGTGGAGGGCAGTGTCACTGGCCCTCATATGTGGGATCCGAACTCGGGCCCTCTGGCGTCCCAAGTCAGTTCTTAACCATCGCACCACTCGGCCAGCCCCACCAAAAAATTTTTTTTAAAGATGTATAATAGATATGCTAAGGAAAGAGAAAATGGAATCATATAAAATGCTCAACTAAAACCACAAATGGCAGGGGGAAAAAATGGAAGACACAAATAGGAACAAAGAACAGATGTAATGAATAGAAAACAGTGTCAAATGTGGTGGATTTGAATCCAACTATATTAATAATCACTTCAAACATCAATAGTCTAAATACACCACTAAAACACAGAGTTTGTTGGAGTGATTAAAAAATAAGATTCAACTGTAGTTGTCTACAAGAAACCCACTTTAAATATAAAGACACATACAGAGTAAAAGGGTGGAGAAACATATATCAAGCTATTACTAATCAAAAGAGAGTAGGAATAGCTATATTAATTTCAGACAGCAGACTTCAGAGCAAGGAAAATTATCAGGGATAAAGACAACTATTACATAATGATAAAGGTGTCAAATATCTAAGAAGGCACAACAATCCTTAACAATATGTGTATGCACCTAACAATGTGTATGCACCTAACAATAAAGCATCAAAATATGTGAGGCAAAAACTAATAGAACTGCAAGGAGAAACACATGAATCCAGTATTACAATTGAAAACTTTGACAACCATCTATCAGAAATGGATAGATCCAGTAAGTAGAAAATCAGGAAGGACCCAGCACCATCAATCAACTGTATCTAATTGGTATCTTCAGACTATTTCATCCAACAACAGCAGAATACACATTCTTCTCAAGCTCACATGGAACATACACCAACAAGGACCACATCCTGGCCAGAAAACACACCTTAACAAATGTAAAAGAATAGAAATAATATACTGTCTGCTCTCAGACGCAAGGGAATTTAACTAGAAGCCAATAACAGAAAGATAGCTGGAAAATCACAGCTCCAGTATTACCTGGAGATTAAACAACACACTTCGAAATAACATGTGGGTCAAAAAAGAAATGCAAGAGAAATTTTGAAATAGTTTAACTAAATGAAAATAAAAATACAAATTATCAAAATTCACAATATGCAGCAAAAGTAGTGGCTAGAGTGATACTTATAGCATTGAATACACTATATATACAGAGTGCCAAAAAATGTATATACATTTTAAGAAAGAAAAACTGTATTAAAATTGTAATACTTGGGGTGGCCGGTTAGCTCAGGTGGTTAGAGTGCAGGCTCTTAACACCAAGGTTGCTGGTTCGATTCCCACATGGGCCAGTGAGCTGCACTGTCCACAACTAGATTGAAGATAACGACTTGACTTGGAGCTGATGGGTCCTGGAAAAAACACACTGTTCCCTAATAAAGTTTAAAAATAAATAAATAAGTACATACATACATACATACATACATAAAATAAAATTGTAATGCTTAATATACGCCGATAACAAAAGATGAATACAAGTCATGTTTGACTTCTGCAATTACAAGAGGTGCTCATAGTGGTTACCATCAGTGTCCAGACACTTCTGATTATGGCGAACTACTGCTTGAGCAACATTGACCAAAGTGTCCACTTGTATACATTTTTTGGCACCCCCAGTGTGTATGTATGTGTGTGTGTGTGTGTGTGTGTGTGTGTATATATATATATATATATATATATATATATATATATATATATTATAGGTCTAAAATTAACCATCCAAGTTCCATGTAGGAAGCTAGGAAAAGAACAGTAAATTAAATCCAACATAGAAAGAAAGAATAAAAATTGAGCAGAAATCAGTACAATTGAAAGTAAAAAATCAAGAGAAAAATCAATGAAATCAAAAGATAGTCTTTGAAAAGATGTATATATTTTTAATCTACACACTATCTTTTATTTAATTGGTGACAACTCAATTTAAACCACTCTACATATGCTTCTTTTTTCCCCTTCAAAATATAGCTATAGTCCATGCTGAACACACTCAGCAGAGGAGAGAAATTTTCTGTGCAGCTGTATTATTTTATATATTGGGCAGAAAAAAATGACAAACCTTAAAATTTCATATCTTAATTGTAAAAAAGGAGAAAGAAAACTTCGGTAATTTTTTAAACAAACTGAAATAATGAAATATGTAATTACTTCTGGTAACATTTTTTTTATGGTTGTCACATGAAATCAAGAGAACACAGGATAGGAGGCTCTCACTGAAGGTAGAGAATGGCCAATTTTATGAGTAAATCCTGCCTTTAAAGGGATTTTTAATTCTGAACAGATATTTAACCTCTCTTGCCAGAAATTTTTAGTATATTTTTTCTCCAATATAATTATTGTACCAAATATAGTTAACTTTTTTTTTTAATGGAAGTCTGCATTCTTCCATTGTCTAATTCTGGCATGTCTTTCCGCCTTATCATTCTTTTTTTTTTTTAGCTCAGCCATCCTGCTACCTGTTGGCAGCTCAGTGGCTGCTCAGCGGCTGTTCAGCTTGGGCTGGACTCTCACCGCTGTTGCTCAAAGCTCAAACTCTTGAGTGAACTCTTAACCAACTGAGCCACTCAGCCGGCCCTCACCTTGTCATTCTTAATGAAACATATATTCAAAGGAAGCTCCAAATATGATAATTTTCATATTAGAACAATCTATTATCAAACACTTTTGTGATTGAGAAAAAAGGTAGACAGCAATGGTCATGTCTCACCAAGGTAGCAAATCTAAGTGCATGAAGCAGTGAGTAATCCAAACCTTTCTACTAAGTACTAAGTATATAAATTCTAAGTATAGAATTTAGATACTATCCTAGCATAGTATCTAAAGTGGACATAATTCCTTAACTTTGAATTTTAATTTGCCTTTCTAATTTCAAATATCAACATGTGAAGAAAAAAATGAAGTGGTATTGTGCCACCTTGTGGAAGCACGATGAATGGACTTACGTAGGTTTTTGGGTGTTTGGTGAGAATTTAGGATTGTATTTTTAATGTTTTTTCCAATTATATAAGCAATAATTGTTCAGTGCAAACAATAATTTTGCAGCTTTTTTTATGCATTTGAAATTAAGGAGGGAATGTAAGATGACATGGAGGTGGGAGGGAGAAAGCAAGGCAGGGATTGGATTACAGGATAGTAATAAGATTATGTGCTCTCTTGAGGGTGGTTATGACTAGTTTCAATGGTGTGTTAACCTAGACGCACAAAAGCAATGGTCAGGGCTAAGGCAGGGAGCAATTGATCCTGGCTTTTGGTCCTGATGTCTGTCCTGGCGTTGTTATGTCTGGCTTCCAGGGCATGTGGTCCATGGGGCCGATTTGTTTTCATGAGTCCGGAGCTGAAACACAACTAAGGCCAAGTTGTTATCTTTGACTAAAATCTTATTCTAGTTTAAGCTTTGGTTATGGTATCTTGGTCATGGTTGATAGACCTGAAACTTTATTCTTAAATGAGTTTGATGCTAACCGGAACCTAATGTCCTAAGGGTTTAATTATTAGAAAGAGCGGACATACCGTATATGCACAGGTAGGAGGACTGGGAAAAGAATGCAAGTGAGTTATAGTTCTATCAGGATAAATAAAGCTAGCTTGGGTTAAAGCAAAATGCATGCTAAAGAAATGAAGTTCATGTGCGGTTACATGGTGGGAGTCAGTTAGGGGTAGTTACTGGGAAAAGCATAGTAAACAAGGGTAAAATTGTTATGCAGATTTAAGCTCGTGCCTTCTCCACTGATGAGTTTTGTAGAGATTAAGATCCCCTCCTCTTCCTGGTACAGTGAAGGAAACACGCTTACAAGTGGAATTTTCCCTTACAAATGTCCTTTTGCAAAGGGAAGGTTTTCAGAGCTCCTCCCACATCTGCTGTTAATTTAAATTACCCAGCCTAAAATAATCAATGTCCCCATAGAGGCATTTTTGGGGTGGCAAACTCTGCTCCCCTTCAGTAGAGAGAGGTAAAAGACAACAATTCAAACTTCTTAAGAACAAGAGGATGGCCTTGTGATTGATTCAATCAAGTATATCTTGTGAACTCTGCTTCCTAGAGGTAATGTTTACGTTTCAAGGGTCAGCAGGCTCACGAACTTGCATTGCAGTAGAGATTAAACCTTTCATCAAGTTTAAGTTCTCAAAGACACACCATATAGAGGGAGGCAATTTGGGTAGGCGGCTGCATTCCTCGTCAAAAAAAAAAAAACAACCCAAAAACTATAATTTATATATATAGTCACGGATGTGGGGGGAAAAATTGCATAATTGTAATCTTCCACTAGTAACTGAGGTTGCAGCGTTACAGACAAGGGCATGCTCCCCCGGAGCTTATATATTTTCTTCCCCAGTGGAAGACGTGCTCTTTGGTTTTTCCTGGAGCTAACATTCTGATAGAACTTCAGACCAAGGTTAAGTGGGGGACCACTTCCGGCAGGTAGTTAGGAGACGCCTCTGTGACGAGTTGATCTATGAGATGGACTTTTGGAACTTCGATAAATGTTTAAGAGCGGAATGAGTGGCGAATGACAAGCAACCTAGAGGTTGCCAAGGAGCTAAAGAACGTCTCTATTTCGAGTCAGGATCGTAATGAAAAAGCGGAAAGGAGACTATATCGTGCTGTCACAGCGCCCTGGCTAAAAAATGGGTTCCCGCGCAGTTCCAAACGCTTGGGGGCGGGGAAAAAGCTGAGAAGCGGCTAACCGGGCTGGGGGCGGGGCCACGTCGGGGGCGGGGCTACGGAAGCCGATTGAGCGCCGGGACGGCCGGCCGAGAAAGCCTGCGTGGGTCTGTGGCGCTCACGGGGCTGCGGGTCCTCCGGAGCTAGCCTGCCTCCACTGCGACCTTCGCTCACACACACATTGCTTTCCGCGGCCACTCGGGAGACGGAGACGCAGCCTCAGAGTCGCCGGAGCGCTTCTGTTGGGTCAGCAGCGCAACGGGCTTGCCGCGGCGCGTCACCGGCGCTTCCTGGCCTGTAGGGCGTACGCCCGGCGGGCCGAGCTTCCGCCCCTGCCCCCCGGCTGGCCCGGGGGTCCGGGTACCGCCTGGACGGCTGCTCCGCCGGGCCTGCTGACCGGGCCGCAGCCCGTGTCCGGAGCGGACGGCGTCATGAGGCACCTGCCTTACTTCTGTCGCGGTCAAGTGGTGCGGGGCTTCGGCCGCGGCTCCAAGCAGCTAGGCATCCCCACGGGTGAGCCCCGGAGCCGTGGACCCCTGGACCCCGGGTCATGTGGGAGGGGGACGTCAGCTGTGGGGGCAGGGTCGTGGGATGCGGGCAGATGTTCCCGCCCTGTTGCGGCGGAGGACCTTTGGTCGGGCTGAGGGGTCGGGCGGAGACCGGGCTTCCGCGTCCCCTTTCCTGCCTCCCTCTCCAGCCTTGATAGAGCCGCCCAGCGCCGCACTCGTCTTTCCCACGAGAAAACGTAACGTGGGCCAGATCGGCTACATTCTCATGCCAACGGTAGGGTTTTCTTCTCTTTAAAGCTGTTAATAAATGGTCTCCAAGTGATCACACAGGCAGCTGAAGGAGAACCATCTTGATTGGTCGGTCTTACATTAGTTTTAGTAGTCCGGGCCTGACGGTATGTTTAATTTACCCTTGAAAATACATATTCGAGCCTCCCTGAGACCTACGAAAGCAGCCTTTTTGAGCTTGGAGCCTAAGCATGTGTATTTCGAAAATGAGAATCTTTTTCAACAGATTTCGAACCTCCGTAAGAAAGGCCAGGTCTAAAAAAACTGGCTGTTCATGTACTTGTTTTCTTCTGCCTCCAGAGTGCATATATGTATATTTTTTGGAGCTTTATACACTTTTATAATCTCATACTTTGTTCCTAATCTGTCCACAGGAATAGGAGAAAAAATTTGATCCAGAATACACAATGATGGGATTGATAATATAAGCAAAGCCCTAGGGGTTTTGGGACCCTAATTTTTTAGACTAGCCTTGCGTGCGATTTTTATAAATGATACGATACGCTTAACACTTAGAATGTTTGCTTATGTTTTTAGCTAACTTTCCTGAACAAGTAGTAGATAACCTTCCAGCTGATGTATCCACTGGCATTTATTATGGTTGGGCCAGTGTTGGAAGTGGAGATGTCCATAAGATGGTGGTGAGCATAGGCTGGAACCCATACTACAAGAATACGAAGAAGTCCATGGTAAGAACTGTGTTTTGTTCTGTAGCTGAAAATCGGATGATGATTTAGAGCAGAGGTCGGCAAACTTTTAAGATGGAGGAGCCAATCCTGTCCCTCACAACAATTTAAACATTATTCAAGAGCCATAAAACAAATGAAATCACCATTATGTGAATAATGTCCTTTAAAAATTTTATAAATGAAACTATGATAGTTTCATTTTCAGTTTTCAGAGCCACATGTACATACCCAAAGAGCCGCATGTGGCTCGTGAGCCACAGTTTGCTGACCCCTGGTTTAGCGTAATATGCAGTACTAGATGTACATACAGTGCTGTGGTTTGCATCAGTGGTAATCACAGCATAGTCCAAATACTAGAATTTGTGGCAGCGTACTTGAAGGATTAGAAAGTGAAGTATTTAGTTACTATTTGAATAAAAAAACCTTTTCCATCCTTTAACTTTCAGTCTATTTGTGTCTTTGGATCTAAAGTGAATCTCTTGTGTGTTTTTGGATCCCCTTTTTTTAACCATTCTGCTTATCTCTCCATTTTGATTGGAGATTGAATCCAATTACATTTAAACTAAGTACTGATAAGGAGGGACTTAATGATAGTGCTGTTTGTTTCCTATATTTGCCGTATAGCTTTTGTGTCCATTATTCCCTTCTTTACCCCGTTTTGTGTTTAGTTGATACTTTTGGTAGTGACACATTTTGATTCCCTTTGGTGTACCTTCTATAGATATTCTCTTTGTGGTTACCATGGTGTCTGCATTTAATATTCTAAAGTTGTAAAAATCTAATTTGAATTTACACCAACTTTAATAGTAGACACAAACTCATAAATTACATTTTTATATTTGTGGGCCTAATAATGGGTTAATAATGTTTATGCATGTTAAAAAAATCATGTAGAAAATAAAAAGTGGAGTTACAAACCAACTTTACAATAATACTAATTTTTTTTTTTTAAAGATTTTTATTAGGGAATTGGGGGGATGGGAACAGCGCTGGGGAATTGGGGAACTGGAACAGACAAGTTGCTGTCGTTTTGGTCTTCAGTCTAGTTGTGGAGGACGTTGCTTCACTGGCCCAAGTTGGCACCATCATTGCGCTCTTCCAGGGCGAGGCAGATCAGTTCGCAGGCTTCTGGACGGCCGCTCACTGCCGCTGCTGGCTGCTCATGCTGGCTGCTAGCTACACATGGTAGCCCATGGCAACCCACTGCCACAGGGGCTGCAGCCTACACCGTCGCCGGCGACTCCCGGCAGCCCAGCTCCAGGTTGAGCTGTTGTTCAGCATCTTAGCTGTGGAGGGCAGTGTCACTGGCCCTCATATGTGGGGGCCCTCTGGCGTCCCAAGCCAGTTCTTAACCATCACGCCACTCGGCCGGCCCAATAATACTAATTTTTTATAACTGCCCCTGTGTTTACCTTTACTGGAAATAAAAGTGAAGTTTTTAAGAGTATGTTTCATAAAATTGAGCTTGCTTCAGTTAGTGTAGTTCATTTACCCTTTAATTACTTGGTCGCCCTATTAAGATAGAACTGCTTACTACATGGGTGGTGCTTTCTGATTAGATTGCAAGGTGCTTTTTTCCTCCTTTAAACCACTTTGAGAGTATAGTTTGCTCTTTACAGGACCGACAACTGAAGTGCTTAAACTTTTGGTTAGCTCAAGTGTGTGGAAAAAAGAGTTATAGTTCATCTAAATTTCATTCTCCGAAGAGTTTATAGAAGACAAGTGTGTCACATTTGAAAAACCAAAGGAAGGGCTAAGTGCTGGCAGAAGCACTAGAAATGGCCCAGAACTACTTAATGAGGGAAAGAATTGAAAGAACAAAATATTTTTTTGTAGGATGAGAGAGGAAATAAAGGGTAGGGAAGACTATCCGGTGACTAATTTTTCCTTATTAGCTACTCAGGTGACAGAACTATTACTATAGAGCCAGTTAAGGAATGCCTTGGAAGTCCTTCCATAGTTAGGAGAAACTTGATTTTCCATTGGTAGGAGTTTCATGAGGTTTTCTTTTTTCTTTGCCAATAACAGACATATATGATGTATCTGTTCAGTCCTTTTCCCTTTTTAGAAAATTGAATTGGCTATCTTACTGACTTAAAGAATTTCTTAGTATGTTTTAGATCCAGTTCCTTAGTTGCAACTATGTCTTGCAAATATCTTTGCACACTGTGTTCTATGTTTTCTTTAAAAGCTTGTCTTGCTTTTCTGATCAAATTGATTTTTGAGTACGCTGTGAGGTATGGGTCAAAATTAATTGTTGACCCAGCCCATCTCTTGAGAATATGTTTCCTGACCCCCCTGCAGTGTTACCTTAGTGGCAAATCAAGTGACTTTATATGTGTCAGTCCAAAACACTCATACATTGACTTGGTCTATTTCCTAGTTTATCCTTGGGCCATTACCATGTTGTCTTAATTTCCATAGCTTTATAGTAGGTCTCTATCTGATTGTATAAGTCCTGCATTTTTGTTTTCAAGATTTCTTGGATAATTTTGTCCTTTGCATTTCCATATAAATTTTAGAATCACTTATCAGTTTCTGTCATTTAAAAGAGACTTGCTAAGATTTTATTGGCATAGCATTGAATCTATAGATCAATTTAGGGAAAGTAGATATCTTTACTATTTCAATGTTTTGTAATAGTGTCAAGATCTTACATATCTTAGTTTCCTTTTTATTCAAAATTAAAGAAAGACTGTAAGTCAGATTTATTGGTTCATAGTACAAAGCACTTTATGTCTTCTAACTCTCACCCCTCAATTACAGATGAGAAAACTGAGCCCCAGAGAGGTTTAGGTATGCCTTTAGCCAAACATGGAACCCTACACATTGGGTTCTTAAACACAGTGTTCTTACTATAGTACTGCCCTGCTTCTCTTAAATACTTTGAATTTAGTATAGTATATAATTTCAGCTCTTCTATATAAACGATTTACTAATCTAACAAAACCAAAGCTCTAATAAGAGCTTTATTATAAAGAAGAGTCTTGTTTCTAATATCCATATTTCCTTCTTATAAATTGTTTAAATCAAGGTCCTTTTTTTTTAATGGGCTTCATAAAATCCATAAATCCATTAAGTTGTATGCAGAGTTTTACTTAGGAACACTTGGGGAGAGTCCTTTTAATGACCTCAAAGGATCATGACTCCCACCCCCCAACAAACCAAAAAGGTTATGAAAGACTAGGTTATTTTATTTAAGAGAAAAATGAAAACTTTCCTTAATATTAAAAGTCTTGTGATATTTCCTGTTTTCTGAGTGGGACATTAAGTATAAGTTGCTCTAACCTCTATAGGGTTTATTACTGAATGATCCTAGCAATAATCTTAGCTGATCTGTAGTAGATGCTTCAGATTTAATGATCACTTCATAGACTAGATTTTTTTAAGTTGTGCACTTCAAAATATACCTCTAGTCTCAAGTTACATGTTTCTAAATTGTTTAAACTTCTCAGTTTCCTGTGCCACCATCCTAGTCCAGCCTAACCGTTATGTATTTGCATGCTCTCTACATTGGTTTTTCCTGCCTTTTGAACTCAGATTTGTTCTTTATAGGAGCCTACTGAAAATCAGATTTTAGAGCGTCTTCTACCTCCTGCGCCACTTTGCTTCAACATGTCTTGTACCTATTTGTTACATCATTCCTAGTCAGGAATGGGCTCTTTTTGCCCCACATCAGTCTTTAGCTCTGCCTAACCCTCAGAAGTTTCTATAACTTGCATGTGTCAGAAACACATAGATCCTGATTAACTTGAGAACTAGTTCTGTTAGTAACATCTCTTAATACTCCCCTCATTCCCTTTTTGGTGTTTTTGCTCAGTTTTTTCATCTTGATAAGACTCTTGTTCACTTTGGTGCATGTTAGTTTTTTCTATAAACAGCAAATCATACCAGATTTGTGGTTGTAACGTCTACATCAGTAAGAAAGTTTACATGTACGTTCAGGGACAGGAACAGGAGCAGGGGAAGAATTCAGGAAAAATTGCACTTAACATTTTAACCCGTCTTTTGAAATACAGTGAGGGTTGGTGGTTTCATTTAAATTACCACCATAAATATAAAGATATATTTCAAATTTCAGGTACTCTATAAATCCTTTTTTATCTTAACTGTAGGAAACTCATATCATGCATACCTTCAAAGAGGACTTCTATGGGGAAATCCTCAATGTGGCCATTGTTGGCTACCTCAGACCAGAAAAGAACTTTGATTCTTTAGGTAAGTTCTTACTTAGATCTTAAGTATTACTGCAGTTATGTCTACAGGTTTCTAATAACCATGGCAGGACAGATAATATTTGAACATTTAATATATGCCAGGCACTGTTTTGAGTGCTTATATAATAACTTCTTTCATCCCCACAACAACCAGATGAGGAATTATTTTGCTCATTTGCAGTGAGGAAATTGGCACAGAGAGGTTAAATAATTTGCCCGAGGTCACGTAGTAAGTCCTGGAAAATTCAAACCCAACAGGCTGGTTGCTTCCAACAGTATGAAGTTAATAAAATTTTTATGTCCTTTTTATATTTTAAGGAACAAGAATTAATAAGCTGTGATAAATAATGGATGCTTTGCAATGCTTGATGTAAGAAATAATAAATCAATATTAGAAACAAATGGTAACCAAATTTCTTAGTGTAGTGTGATAGTTTTAATTCTATTGTAGAGTTTTTTTTTGCAAGTAAATACTGAATAGAATTGATAGTGAATATTTGTTTCTTCCATTTGGTATTCACAGTGTACCTTTTTGCTAATGACTGACTAAGAAATTGCAATAAAATTAGGGACATCTTTTGTGTACCAGTGACTATTTAAGTCTGTAAGGAGGGATAGATCACAAACATTTATTGGTAATCTACCCTGTGCCAGAGACACTGCCAGCCTGTGATGAGAGATTTTAGGAGAGGCTGAACAAAATAGTAGTAAAAAATGTAGCAGCAATTTTTCCTCATCTTTCCCTGGTATGTTCTCTCTGCAGAGTCACTTATTTCAGCAATTCAAGGTGATATTGAGGAAGCTAAGAAACGACTAGATTTACCAGAACATTTGAAACTCAAAGAAGACAATTTCTTCCAGGTTTCTAAGAGTAATATAATGAATGGCCACTGATGAAAAGTCACCTTATTTATTCATTCACTGTTTTCTAATATTTTGATGCCCACAACTGTGCAGCCTCATCTTGGTTATATTTTAAAAATCAAACATTTTCCTACAGCTGTGAATTAGTTTAAATAGTACAATGTAGTTACCTTATTATACTTCAGCTGTTCAATTAAACCCATCATGCTACAGTACTAAAAAGATTCATTTTAAAAATCAAGATTCTTTTTATGTAACATGTTGATTAAAATTTACCACTAGAAAGGTCTTAAGTGTCTTGTAATGGAAATGAAATGTGTATAGCTATGGGTAAAAAGCAAGTCACTAGTTTGAGATCAAAACAGTTCTCATGGTAAAGTACTAGTATGTATGTATTTATACAGCATGTGCTGCTAAACAGAAGGCTTATAAAGGTAAATGCATTAAATAGAGCTTTGATAGTTTATATAAACCTAACGGGCAAAAGTCATACTTTGTATTTTTGATATTTTGTGCATTAATATATTACAAACATGAAAACTTGTGTAATTTTCTTTAGTCATTTTCTTTATGAGATCAAATCACTGTATTGTGTTCATTTTTGTTATAGCTGCCTTTGTTCTAATTGGTCTAGAGTCTATCTGCCTATGTTTTTTTGTCTATCTTTTAAAACATTAAAGTGAATGTTTTTCAGATATCTAGGTCTCATTTTTGCTTTGTATAACTCTACCTTCTTTTTAAGAGTAGATATTCAATATTTTTTTTTGCCCATGGTTCTTTTTTCCTTTAAACAATTGTCAGTGTCAGGTTTTCCATTTAGAATATCCTATGACTTAACAAAGGATTGCATCTGTCTACCATTTCATATTTTGTCCCTTCACTGTATGAAAAGTGATTATGTGCATATCTGTATTGCATTTTAGAAAAACCCGAAAGCTTCATATTTAGGTTTCCTCAAAGTTTTTAGTTCATTTATATGTACGTATCGGTTTCTTAAAGAACACAGAATGCTTGTTTTCCCCAGTAGGGAAACTATTTAAGAGCCAATTAAACTATAAAATAGAAAGTTATTTATTTTTAATGTAATTCTATGTTCCTGAAAACAGACTGTTGTGAATGTGTATGCACAATGTAATTTAATGATAAGAGTGCTTGTAGCTTCATGACAGCTAAGAAGGGATTTTTGGCCACTTGAGACTTCTGTTTATATTGACAGAAAGTTAAAATCTTTGGATACTTAGAAAGTTAAGATTACAGATTGTTTGGACCCCTGAAACAGCACATTGCTTTATTCACTTTGGCACCAGATTTGGTAGGGGGTTGGAGGCAGAGGTATATAGGAGGTAATTTTAAAGATAATTTGTTATAAATCATTTTTCTCTAATTTGCGCAAATAAAGAACTGATTTTAACAAAAGTATCTAGAATAACGAAAGCTAATGTTGGAGAAGAGAAAACATGTATAAATTCAGTTGGATTGTGTTTTACTTTTTGGTGTATGAATTTATGACAAACAATGTAGTATGTATCTTTCATTTCTTCTCTATAAAAATACTTAGGAAATGTAATTTAATGTTAGAAATCCGATACTTGAAAGAAGCCTCAGTGGCTTTAGAAGCAAGGGTAAAAACAAACATTGAAAGTAAAAACAGATCTGTGTTTGAATAGATTGCTGCTAATTATGTCCTTAGTAAGTGAAAGTTCTTTGATACCTTATATTTTGTTGAATAGCCATCACTTTCGAAAATTGTATGTTGTGCAAGTTAGGAGTTAGTTAATAGTGTCCTATGTTTTTTTAAGTTTTAGTTTTATTTATGTATTATAAATTGTAGTAGTACCATTTTTAATTGGAGTGACTTCAGGCTTTGAAATAAATCTTGACTAAGTGATGTCATAAGTTTTACAGTATGACCTTTCTAAGTAGCATGATGTGATGCAATCTCTCCCCATCCCGTTCTGTTCCACCTGGAATGTGAATCATCCCCTTGTTCAGTGTATCCACACTGTACTCACTCCCCGCCCGTTAGCCACTTAGTATCTGTCTAGATTATCAGATCAGTTCTGAGAGAGACCACATTCACATAACTTACAGTATATTGGAATTGTTCTATTATTAGTTATTGTTAATTTCTTACTCTTCCTAAGTTACAAATTAGATACTATGATTGTATGTATAGGAAAAAATGTAGCATATATAGGGTTTAGTACTATCCACTTTTTCAGGTATCTGCTGGGGGTCTTGGAACGTATTCCCTGCAGATATGGGTGGACTAGTCTACTGTACAGCATTAATTATATTGCAAGGAACTTAAGGGAGATGGATGTATTTGAGTGGCATTCGTGACTATATGAATTCACATACCAACCCCACAATATTCTCTTCATAGCCTCCCACAAACTACAGTGTCTTACATTTTTATAATGGCCTTAGCGTTTACTTGGAGTGTAAGTTTCTAGAGGCCTTGGGCTGTATTTCGTCCTTTTAGCACCTGTGTATAGAAAGTGCTCTGTATGTAATTGTGCACTTATTAGAAATAATTTTCCTCTGATAGTGGGACCTTAATACAGCAGCCATCCCCAGAATTAGAGCTTTACTGGGAACCCAGCTTGTGGGATAAGTAATTTTTCAAGCTTCCCTGGCTCTGCCTTTTTTGGTTCCATTTTATTTTCCAAGGCAAAATCTAGACTGGATGAAACCTCTAGGACTGATTTTTGTTCGTTTTCTAAGGCCTAGTTGAAGTCATTATGGGTATTAAATTATCTCATTTTTCTTATAGAAAGTTGTGACTTATAGAATTTTTTATTTCTAATCCTTCATGAGTTAATACTTAAACAAATAAAAATTACTAGAAAAACAGTCACATTTGATGTCTTGGCAATGTCAAAATGCCATAAAACATTTGTGAACACTCCCAGTGTCAGTAATAGACAGTTCATAGACCAATAGCAGTCAGCAGACCACACTGGGTGGCCCTGTTCTAGAGGCCATAAGCTTTCCTGTTCAGCTATAGCAGGATTGGCAAACTTTTTATAAGGGGGCAGAAGGTAAATTCTTTAGATTTTGCTGTAGTGAACAAGCAACCACAGACAATACATAAATAAATGGGCATGGCTGTTTCAAAATGTTGATATGGCAGGAAGGATTTGGCTCACAGGCCCATTGTTGGCCTATTCCTGAGTTAGAGCGATATTTTTTCTTTTTCTTTTTTTTTTTTTTAATATTATTGGGGAACAGTGTCTTTTCCAGGACCCATCAGCTTCAAGTCAAGTAGTTTCAATCTAGTGGAGAGCATTTTTCCAGGACCCATCAGTTTGAAGTCAAGTAGTTGTTTCAATCTAGTTGTGGAGGGTGCAACTCAGCAGCCCATGTGGGGATCGGACTGGCAACCTTGGTGTTATGAGCACTGCACTCTAACCACCTGAGCTAACTAGCCACCCCAGAGGGTTATCTTTTCAGTCTTTATTACGGCATAGTGAGATAGTAATTTCTTTCCTAATTGCTATGCAGGTTTTATGTCATTCATGTGAACATTTTATTTTGACGTATATGTGTGAAAATTAGGGAAGGATATGGATTTTCAGAATGTTCTCCAAAGAGCCCTCGGGCCTCATGGAAGTGCCCTGGGTGATGGGCATGCAGGGGCATCTCTGCCCCTTCCCACCTGCTTACGGTAAGGCAGTTCTCAACTGTCTTCTATCTATAGGTTCTACCAGAGACTGGGTTTGATTAAAGGCCTCCATTGCTAAGTATACTTTTGGTTGGACTGATGAGCCCACTTGTTCTTCCTCTCTCAGGGTTCCCATCCTCTATTTGCATGTCAACAATTTCATGTTGTACACATAATAAACAGCGCCTCAAGCACTTTTCTAGAAGCAAGTGGATATAAATCCTAAAAGAGTCACTCTCTCTGGGACATTGAGTGGATTTCCTGGTGTGGGTTCTGCTCTGATCTATGTAAACAAACAGCTGCTGCTAACTATGAATCACTCATGGGAATTCCAGGTGACTCTCAGGGTCCCTTTAGGCCTCTCTGAACCTTCAAAATATTTTCTGCCCAGGAGGCTGTTTTGCTTACAGATTTGCTGGTATTTCAAATTTATTAAAGGTTCCCCATTCCAGTACAGTATTTCTGTCAAATGAATTTTTTTGTTTTGTTCTTAGACGTACCCCCTGACCCCAACAAAACCTAACACCAGTATTCTGAGGTCAACCATATTTCTGAATCAGGATTTCCCGCTGGCCTTTATTAGCCTAACCAGCTAGACCTGTTCTCTACTGTTTCTTGTAGATTTAATTTGAATACTGTTTTCAAAATTTTAGAAGATGGAAGTAGATTTAATTTGAATACTTTTTTTTGAAGTTTTAGAAGATGGAAGCAAGTGTTATATTGGATTCTCTGCCCTTTTTGAAAGTTTATCTTTTCAGACAGTCTGACAAGGGGATGGATAGAATGAAATATCTGTCACTACAACAGTTTAACCACGTTGAGGATATCATGTTCTTTGTAAGAACACAGTTGTAAATGTCAAACTAGGTGCACACTGAACATTCAAAAGAACACTAAGTTCTCCAAGTTTCACTGTAGAGATTCAAGATGTGAGTGATTACGTTTTCTCTGTTTCATCTACTGACCAAGTGGTCAATTTTAGAATTTGTAGCAACAGGAGCTTCAGTGTGCTTTTATTTACAGCACTTCATGGTTCCTCACCATAAGTCTGAGCTATCTAGCCGTGTGTCATTGGTACCACACTTCAGATGAAGAAACTGCAAGTCAGAGGTAAACTCAGCAACTCAAACTGCATAGGTAGAAAATTTCAGAGCTGAATGTGGAAGCCAGGTCTTCAACACATTTCAAGAGGGAAGCAATGTTAGACTCAGGCTTAGCTGCTTGACCCTGTTGAAGAGTACATGGGACCCTGGGAGGTATAGATGGCGGAGTGTTGGGCAATGACGAGTCCCAGGCCCGCCAGCTAGCAGCTTTTGCAGGACATGGCGGCTCATCTTTTGCTTGGCTCTTGCCTCCACTGGCTGGAGTGTTTCAGATGCAAGGATAGTGTTAACAAAGCTGAAGATCAAACTTTCAGCAGAGGCATCAAACAACAGAAAGTTCACACATAAGCCTTAATTGACTTGACACACTGGACAGGAACCAGGTCTCTAAGTCTGGAGGAATCGGGATGTGATAAGGATCCAGTAGACAGTTTGGACCAGGATAGCCAATTAATGTCCAGGGAGAGTGCCCAGGCTTAAGCCCTAAGCCCCTGGCGAGCTCCTTGGGTTACCTGTTTTTATTTCATTGACATCATCTTTTGTTCCCTGTAGAGTTCCATTATACACAGACTCTCCACAGCAGCGCACATTCCCTAGTAATCCACAAACTGATTTCTTATTCTAGACTCCAAGCCTTTGTGCATTTTCTCCCTGTTCCCTCCACTTATCCACAGCCCACGCATCTGTAAAATCATGTGAATATGGAACTCTTCTTCATACTCTTGGAAGAGACTGCCAAGGGTAAAAATCTTTGTAATAGGTGATGCTAAATCCCCCATATTACAATACTAGATCCTAGAAAACCCAGGTCATGCTAAGAGAAGATGAAACCTGTTCTGTCCTTTATCCTCCTGCAACCTATAGATGTTTGTGGAGTTGAAGAGGGGAGGGAGGGAGAATTCCTTTGGAGATAGATATCACTGTGCTCTGTCTGTATTTCCTTCAAGGGTATCCATTGGAGCTTGTGTCCCCTAGGTTTGGAGGAGGGACATAAGAATTGTATGAGAAGCTGTAGCTAGATTGGCTTTGGACAACAGAGTAGAGTGACAACAGGGTGAGGGGGTGGCACTTTCACTCTCAATGGAGGGGAGAGGATAGGTGGCAAAGGTGTGTGCTTTCCATGCACGAGATATGTAGATGTGGCTGGAACCATATCTGAAAGAGACTCCACCCAAGGTGGCAGCCTGGAATGGCGAAGTGACCCAGAAGAGGGGCAGAGGGAGGATTTCCAAAAGCGCAGGGTCTGAAGAACCTAAGGGAGGCTTTGGGTGCACCACATTGCAATTGAATTGCTTGGAAGGGAACATTCAGAGAGCATCTGCTTGCTCAGCAAATTGAGGGTCCGCCAGGGAGGGCTGGGCTCCTTTCCTCTAACCCAGGTTTTCTAAGCTATATGCTATGAAGTCAAATTAGTGAATTGTGATCAGCTTAAAAAAATAATAAATTAGAATATGATGAAATATGTAATTTGGGTAAGTATTGTTTCCTTAAACTTTTGTTTCAGGTTTATAAACAGGTGTAGGTGTAAATTTTCTTTTATTGTGGATCGCAGTTAAAAAAAGTTTGAAAGTTCCTGTTCTGATTCACCCTCCTTGTGTTTGGTGCTGGAGGGATGAGGCAGCTGCAATCCGGGAGATTAGAAACAAGGC